AGTTCTTCAAATAAATCTATTAAAGAGAAAAAATACTGTAAAAGTCTTTTCTGTCTTTAAAATGCTGACACTTTTATATAATGTAATATATTGTGTAAAGCTTTTATCTCTTGTTGATGTCGTAAACCAATATATTACAGCTTCTAAGAGGCTATGTTGATTTAATGTAATTTTCCTTGATTCTGCTGTCTGTGACATTTTTCAGGATGCTGCTGGCAAGTACATGACTTAAGCAGTTACAGTTAAGAAGAGTCTTAGTTGCAAGTTCTTTTTCAGCCTACAATTTTGGTCACATTTGGGCTCACTTCAGCTTTCTGGTAAACTGCTGGCCCTCTTCCCTCAATATGACATGTCCAGGCTAGAAAGTTAAGGCAAATTTCAGTGCTAAATACTAAAGCATAAATACTATGATTCCATTGCGTTAATTGCTACTTATTGAGACAGATACTTAGTCTGCAATCTGTTCTCTAGCCCTTTAATTTTCTTTTTCAGTATATTTTAAAGTATATTAGAGCAGACCTAATGACACTATCAGATTTATCTTTTGTTAGGGTATGTACACGCATTATATAAAGTGATGAGGAAAGGCCGAGAAGAAAAAGAATGCTTCTCAGGTTTGTGCACACAATCTTGACACACAGGTTTTTATCTTTTAAAGGACAAACAGTACTATGTTAAAACATAGAAAATGCAGCTTTCAATGTTGACTATTGCTTTAAAAAAAATTCAGAAAGAGTCAAGTTATCCTCAAGTTGCATTACTCATTGGTTACCTTCCTTACAAAATAGGGTAATACTGGTGTATTCTTTGCCAATTTATTGTATTTAAATTTTCATTCTTTTCTTCCTTCCAACAGTTAGCTAGTATTCACTTCTAGATGACCTTAGGTGATTGTACTCTTTAGGCTTAAAATAAAGATTTCTCATTTTTGTTAATTGATTACCTGTTCATAGAAAACTTTTTGTAGATTCCCCCCCCCCTCACTTTGCACACACCCCCACACACCCCCAGCTAATAGTTTAACATGTTTTGACCTGCAGATTTGAATATTTGGAAGTCACAGTTGAGTGTTTTTCCCTGTTGCAGAGATCTCTAGGAAAGATATATTTTTGAGTTAGTTATAACACAGTTACATGTAAGGAAGTGCTCCTTTGTATGATCTGTTACATCTGAAATGTAGGCCATAAAGACAGGTCTTAAGTTTTTTTCCTAACATTCATCTGTTGCTGATATCAGTCTCACTAATTGTGTGGTACTTCATTTGGCAGTTCAGGGAAGTGCTTTGACACGCATCCACACTTTCAGTATTCACATGCCATTTGTAGATTAAGGATCTGTGCTGTGTTACTCTCTTGCAGCACTGTTAAATGAACATTAAAAAAAAAAAAAGCTGCTGAAAATCATTGCAGTGGTATATGTGCTTGTTCTTTTATTTCTTGCTTGGAGAGCAAGAGACTTTCCCTGTGCAATGGAATGGAAAACATGACTGAGAAGGGTCCTTGTAGCTGTATTCTGAAATTACCAGATCAGGATTTTAGTGTGGGATATTAGTGTAATCTTACACATCAGGAAGCACATTTGGTTTCTTGTCTTTTGTCTGCAGCTATTGTTGCAATCTGTCTCGTTCTCCATCTTGCTGAGTGTAATAACCCCTATGTGAGATTTCAGGCAAGAGAAACAGACTTGTATGTATTTCCAGTGCCACAACTATTTTAACTGTTTTTCCGTGCAAGTGTGGTAAGTGATTGAGCTGAAAAATGCAGAGCCTCTCACTATTCAAGAAAAGTCTTTGCCATTCTTCTTCATATCCTACTGTTTCAAGTTATGCGAGCAAACTTTTGTATACCTTAGAAGTGACTGATAGGAATAATCTTTGCCTAGCAAATCAAGATTGTTTGTGTGACACTTATCTTCAGCCCTAAGCTTTGCAGGATTCAGCTGGCTGTTTGAGCCTGATTTTTAGCTTGTGGCAAAAGACACGAGGCCAAAGTAAATTAAGTTTTGGGTTTTTTTTTTTTTCTTTTCCTAATCACCTTTGAAAGAAATTAGAGAGGCTCATAGTCCTTTTCACACTGTGAGCAAAGTGTTTCTGTTACATGCTGACTGATGCTGTCATTTCTGAAGCGGCAAGAATTTTTTCTTTTCAAAAGTGGGAGTGGAGTCCTTAAAATTACAGCAGTCTGCTCTATGTAATCTATTCTTCAACCATTTGCTCTGGTAGTCTAATTTAGTAATTTGAAAGCATGTAAACAAAATTTTGCTCTATCACTGCAAAGAGTTTCTTTATCCATTGATTGTGAACATTGTGTAAGATTTTTCTGTCCTTTGTATGTGTTGCATCTTGCTTTGGGGCAAGGACAAAGAAAGATCTCTTCCTGTGGGTTTTTTTTCCTTCCTTGTTTAAGAGTGGTAACATAAACCACCGCTATTTCCATGTAGTTCGTCTATGAACTGCAGTATTAAAGCTGGGTTTTGATGGGGGAGTGAAATAAATTACAGTCTTAAGACAGACAACTCTATTGTTGTCAAGTTAAAACTTTCCCTCTTCGTCGTTTTGCTAACACAATATAGGTATAGCTCTTAGAAAATGAAAATGTAAACTGGCTGTGTTGTATTTAGCATTTTTTAAAGCATAATAGGCTGTCTCAGAACAGTGTACTGGATTTTTTTTTTTTTTTTTAATATTTGAAAAGTGAGTTTAACATTATGTAAACCTGCAGAGTGTGATTGGGGTCCCTTTCTTCAAAACATTCAACAGCTATGTAGTCTTCTGAATATTGACCAAGTGTTTAATGTGCTTAATAAAAAAAGGGCATATGAAGAATTTTGCATATGTAATATGTACTAAGCCTGTCTCCTGTAGAAGACAGCCTAGATTCTTTGGTGAGTGTGGGAAGCTGTTACCTTTCCACTGCTCCTTTCATATCTTTGTGGTACAAGTCCTGGTGGGGAGGGGTTGCTTAAGCTGGGATGGCTGTTGAAGAAATGCATATGGAATGGTGTTTTGAGAAGTAGCATATACCATTGGGTTGATCTGGAAGGTGTGTGTAGGCAGGATGTCGCAGCTGAGCGGATATTGTGGTAGAAGTAGGTGTGTCCTTTGGTGTTGGTGCTCCATGTGTTCCTTCAGTTGGGGTACTCTTGATTTAGATATTATCAGATCTAAAAAGCTTGTGTACTGTAACTCAAGAAGAAATACTAAGAATTTGTAATTATTTTTATCTATAAGAAGAGACTGCATAGAGGGGAAAGAGGAAAGGTAGGGAAGTGGGCACATTCTTTGGTTGGTGGGGTATGCGAATGTCTATATACTTGGTGGAAAAAAAAGAGATGTAAAATACAGAAATTGCTTGTAACATGACTTAGAGTACTTTTGTTTCTGACTTTACTGTCTTTCCTTACTTTGGTGCCCTGAATGAATGAATGTTTTATGTGTTGTGGGTTTTTTTTTTTTTATTTAGTTGCAGTTCACTGAGAAAGATGGGTGAGGTGTGTGTTTGTTGGAAGAGAGGTGAATGTGCACCTGAGGGGAAAAAAACCAAACAAACCAAAACAACAAAACAAATAAAACCCCCAAAAACCAAAACCACCAACAACCAACCCCGAAACCTTGAACAAAAAAGTCCCAGTTAGAACACTCTTTTTCTTCATGTTAATCTGAAATTTTAGTTTTAACTGTTGATGGGTATTCTTATTAATACAATAATCTCAAAATTGTTTTTGTACAGTATTGTTCTGCTGAAATTTTTTGCAGGCAAAAGAATACCTTGTTTTTTCCCTCTCAAATGAAGAGAAAGTCCTATTTTCTTACATGTGCTGTTTTTTGTTCCTTTTGTTGATTTGGTTGTTAAAATTACTTGTTGACTTGGAGTAAAATTACTAGCTTTATTGGACATTTGTTAGTGAGGTAAGGTGTACCTTTCAAGCTAAGGATGTCACACTAAACCATCATCAAGACATGTGAGATGTTTGTGAAAGTGAAGTAGCAGCGAAGAAGTAGCCGAGGAAATTCCATGTAGCCTTATCCCTGTTCCCTGATGCTCTTTCCTGCATCCCCTTCCCCAAATTCTCTTTTCTGGCATTTGTGCTGGGTCAGAGGAACAGGACGTAAAGGGGGTGCCCCAAAGCCGCAGTTTAAGTAAGGGGTGTATTCTGTTCCTACCTTAGGTGTAGGTGTATTTGGGGAGTGATGGGCAGCAGCCAGGTGGGTAGGGTACCATTCCCACTGGCACGAGCTTCTGCGTATCTCCTGCCTGCCCCCTTCCTCCCCCTGCCCCAGCTCAGCTGAACATGGTGGCAGAGCAACTAGAGCTGCTGCATCAGTCTGACAAGCAGGACTGTGCTTCCCCTTCCTAAAGGAACCTAAATGCACTGGTGAAGGCAAGACAGTCATGGCAATGGCCTGTGCAGAGCGAGAGTGGGAAAAAAGCTGGCTTTTTTAGGGATTTATATAAGCAGGCAGTACATGGCCTGCAGGGATGACCAGTAGCATCTTGTGCATAGGGCCTTTCAACATAGTTAGGACTAGTTTCCCAGAAGTAGCTAGATACTGAAGGATGCTGGGAACATCTGCTGGAGTTGAAGCATAAGAAGTGTGAGCGTAGGCTGGATGAGACTTTTAACTAATTTGCTTGTAACCGGGGGTGCCCGTGGATTTTTTTTTTTTTTTTTTTTTAAGTATGGTCACAGTTGGGAAACACATGACAGATTTTAGATGTTATAGGCATTTAGGACAGGCCATATTAAAAGTGTGTGTGTGTGTGTATTTCTGTATGTCTACTTACAGATATGTATACATATATAACCACGTTCTGCCATCCCAAATAGAAACAGAAAAGGCTTTCTGCCCTTGGTCTCTGCAGCTTTCAGAGACATGCTGGGGGACTGCTTATGTTGCAATTTAAACTTATTTAGCCTGCTCCTAAGTACAAGCAGAAAGTGTGGTAGATGTCTTCCCAGCTCTCCAAATGACAGAAAAATAGACATATAAGTTGCTCGAAATGAAGGCCTTCAGTACCTTTGTGGAAAAGGTCAGAGACAAATGAAAATGTGAGGTTCTTTGCTCCAAGATGTGTATGAGGAACCTTAAGATTATAGCGGGTTTTAGCTCAAGCAGTTTTCTCTACCCCGGTCACTTGTTTTCATGCCTCTCCCCACTCTTGCACCAACACAACTGTTTGCAGCTGTGTGATGAACTGGATAAGTGAACTGACCTACTTTAAGTTACCCAGGTCTCTCTCTTGATCTGGTTTAGACAGTGCGGCGACTGAATGTCTAACTGTAACCAAAGGAAGAAATTGTATCAGCCACAGTACCTCTCAGCCTGTGAAAGGTGCACCACCAAAGCCCACGCGGAGCAAAGCATTCCTGTCCCTCAAACAAATAACAAAGTTATTTACTATTATGAGGTGCCAAAAGATTTCATGATTAAAAGGAGATGGGGTCTAAGAAAGGCTAAGAATGAGCGACTTGGAGCTAAGTGAGGATTCTACTTCAAATCCAAATTCAGTTTTTTTTCATGTAAAACCACTTTATTCATGTCCTTCCTTCCTTCCCCCTTCCCCTGCCCCCCCC